CAAACAAACAAAAGTGTTTAGTCCGAACACTCATCACGATAACATTATGATACAACACCGAATAGTTCGCAATACTACTAGTACAACAATAGTCGGAGGTACTCATTACAACAAGATTGAATTGAAATTACACGATAGAAGTATTTAGTCCGAACACTCATTACATCATTTTATTTCCTAAATCGAAAGCATTGTTACACCATGGAATCGCCTGCTGCGCGACGACGCCTTGGCCTTGCGCGCCTGCTTGTTGTTCCTTCACCAGGTGGTCGCCTACCATCACTTGCCTGTCCAGATGGACTAGCATCAGCGCCGCTTGGAACTTCTGCATTCTTCGGGCATTTCTTGTAAGTATGGCCGCGCAGATCACACTTGCTGCAGCGTAAAGTCCTCCCACCTGCTTCTGACTCATCCATATCATTTCTGATGCGTCTAGTTTGGCGTCGACCCTTTTTCACCCTTAACTTAGATGGATCTGGAATATAAAAAACTTGGGCACTCAGCGTTGTGTAAGATCCTGAGATCCCGAACCCATATATCTCCTCACTCCATGTATGAAAGATTGCTTCTTTCCTGAAATAATTTGAGACGTACACATTGGGAGATATGCCACAATCACCGGCAGCAGCAAGAACGTGTGAGCAAGGAAGGTGATGAAGCTTCGGCTTCATACAACTGCAGGTACATCCACCATCCGCCTTCAAGACACATTCCTGCACGGCTTGCTTGCGATAGATACCACGCCTGCTCCTATCAACACACATTATTTCATACCGATGAACTTGTGTGCCTTGAGCAACAACTCTATGTCTCCGTGCCTTTTTGATTTTATCTTCCATGTACTTTGTCACTACGTTGCCAAACACTATGTTGTTATCGGCCATGGACGGACCAATTTTCTTGTATCGATCCCTAAAGTAGGCTTGCGTGCCGTGAAGGATGAATTCAACAATAGCAACCATTGGAAGTACCCGAACTCCTCGCATTACCCAGTTGTACACCTCTGCCAAATTGGTTGTCATTATGCCATACCGAGATCCATCGGTGTCGAACAATAGAGCCCACTTCTCCTTAGGCTCATTCTCAATCCACTGAGAGAAATTTCTGATGGCCGACCCTGACCTCCTTCTCATTGTTGGTGGGTCATCATGTAATGCACCAAGAGGTATGGGAGGCTCGTCACCTTCAACTTGTGGTCTGCGAGATTGCTCATCTGTTTGCTTCGTTGTCAACTCATCCAACTTGTCCCACAACTCATTAAATTTCTTCTCTTGGTTCTGTGCACAGAGCCTCTTAAAGAGATCCATAAGATGCTTGTTCTTGAATTGCTTGTAGAAATTTGCACCCATGTGACGCATGCACCACCGACTCCGAACATCAGGCCACTTAGCTGGAAGTCCCTTCTCATCCCAACCGTTCTGCAAGTAGTCAATAGCCCGCAACATACCCGCATGACGATCATGTATAAGGCAAACGTTGGGCCTCATACGCACCACTGCAATGTGCACTCTCTCTAGGAACCAGTACCAGCTTTCAGTGTTCTCACTCTCTACAAATGCGAAAGCCATAGGTAGAACCTGGTTGTTCCCATCACACCCAATTGCTGTCAATATCTGACCTCGGTATTTACCTGTCATAAAAGTTCCATCTATGCATAGAACAGGTCGACAATGCACAAAAGCATTGATGCAAGCACCCAACGAGAAAAAGGCTCTTTGCAGCACACTCTTTGTTCGATCTTCAACCGATGTAAATGTATGTAGGTCATAGTAAGTATTATTATTCCTCTGGGCAATGGTGGCTAACAAACGAGGCAAATTATCATAAGAAGCTTCAAATGTGCCATACCTCATCTCAATGATCTTTTGTTTGGCTCTCCAGGCCTTTGCATAGCTTATGGTGTACTTGAATTTGTTCTCGATGTGCCTAATAATTGATTTTGGTTCAAAGCCAATGTTACCAACAACACTGCTGTACATCTCACTTGCCACAAAAGCTGAAGTGATGTTTCGGTGATACTTCTCCACCCCTTGTAAGTAGCACTTGTGCTCGGTCACAATGCTAACTTTCCAATAATCATTCCATTTACCCTTATATGCATGGACACGCCACGGACATTCTTCCTTCATGCACCTCACTTCATACACATAATTTGTTGACTTGACCACCCTAAACTCTCTCTGCAATGAAACTGCCCAATGCTTCACCGCCTCCTTCATCTCATCCTTATGAGCATACCTTGCACCCTCAATTACCTCGTTCTCCTTATACTCCCAGGGTACATGATCACCCTCTGATATAACAAGACCAGAGAAGTCCTCATTTGCCCAATCAGTGGCCATTACATCACCTTCCTCATCGGATGATGCGTCGTCCTCCGCTTGCTCATTATCCGAATCTTCCCTCTCCATTTCATCAACAATTATACCGACTCTCTCCCCCTCATCCGCCATGCCCATGGCCTGCTCCTCCCTTGGTTGATTTTCCTCATTTTGCATCGATGGTCCAACAACATCCCCTGCATTGCTAGGACCCTCCACATCTTCGGTTTGCATTGAAACATTTGTATCTTTCTCTTGTACCGACACAAATATAACGAGGGGCCATGACCGTTCAAAAGCCATTTCCACATACCGTCTCCAAGCAGCAGTGCTGTCCATCGGCATTAGTTCCCAAAAATAACCTTCTATTGCACGACTCACTACAACAGATACTGACATTGTGTAGACTTCTTGGTCTATTCTAAATCCTCTCAACAACCAACTATAAATTGACTCAAATGTTCTCTCCGCAGGCCTATCGATGCCCTTAGATGTCATTACAAAATCTGACAGATCAACACCATCTGGACCAAATCTAATATTTCCTTCACCGTGAACTATCTGAAATGTGACCTTACTTGACATTGTGCCTGATGAAAACAATAACTGCGTTAACCTCGCATTTCTGTACTACGCCCTAAGTTACATTCTCTACAATATTGTTCTCTAAATTTCTAAAAGTAGGTTACATTCTCCAGATCAAACTAAACTACATCTTACAATTAACACTACTGTCTATGTCTCAATTCATACTATTATATTCTATGCTCTGGATCTACACATATGTGCTGTGTGCTACAGATCTGCTAAAATATATGGAACTAAAACTAAAACGCAACATATGTACTCAAACGTAATATATTAGTACAAATGCAAAAGATGTATGGGAGCATACCTGTGATGAAGTGAGCGAACCAGCAGGGCTTCGCCGCTCCCCTTCTGCTGCCCTCCCCTCTCTCTCTCTTTCGTTTTTTTGGATTTTTAGTGAATATAATGAAATTTCACAGGGGAGGGGCTGGGATTTATAGGGGGGGGGGGCAAAAATCGCCCTCCCCCAGGGCGGCAAGGGGGCCGCCTGCAAAATTCCATGCCCCCTCGCCGCCCATTTGCAGGCGGCCCCCCGCACAGTGCAAAATCGCCCTCGCGGAGGGCGGCAAGGGGGCCGCCTGCAAAATTCCATGCCCCCCCTCGCCGCCCATTTGCAGGCGGCCCCCCGCACAGTAGAAAACCGCCCTCGCGGAGGGCGGCAAGGGGGCCGCCTGCAAATTTCGTTGACGGCCGTCGCCCGAGGGCGAACGGCCGTCTGCCACGTCATATTTGCCGCCCTCTGGGAGGGCGATTTTTAAAAATCGCCCTCCCAGAGGGCGGTAGGCGACTACTTCCGTCAATTTTCAAAATGGAATATTATTTTTGTAAAACTTTTAATAAAAAAAATTATAAATAAAAAAAATTCGCTATCTCTCTCTGTCTCATTTGGTGTGCATCTCGCTTTGTATCACGACGAACACAAAGCCCATTTGCATCTGAACGGGATTGCCATGTACGTTCCAGCCCAATATATTTGGGCCGGAACGGGATAGCCTGGTATGTTCCGGTCCAAATATTTGGGCCTCGGGGCATCAGCTCAATTCCTCCTTGGTGGGCCGAGACGTGTCAACGCATCACTCCACCAAGGTTTCGTCCAGAGCAAACCATTCAGCTAAAAAACTAATTTTGTACTACGTAATCTATTTTCGATAATGTACCCGAGAATGCTTGATGTCGGGCACCCGGCGCGGGGGAGCCGGATCGGGCGCTCCTCCACGCGCCCCTCCCCCCACTGTTGGGCCCATTCACTTCTCTCTCCTCTTTTTTTATAAAAGATGTTTCATCTAGTGTATTTACAATGTTTCACTATTTATAGATATAATGTTGCAGTGAATTAAAATACTCTTTGGCAAAAAAAACCCCACATATTTTAGAAACTCTCTATTAAGAGAATTTGGTTTATTTTTTTCCACAAAAAAATATTTCACCTAGTGTACTCACAATGTTTCATTATGTATAAGATATAATGTTACAGTGAACGAAACATTTCATTGCAACAAAAAAAACCCATATATTTTGGAAACCCCTATTAAGAGAATTTGGTTTATTTTTTGTTCCACCGAAAAATGTTTCACCTAATGTACTCACAATGTTTCACTATGTATAAATCTAATGTTACAGTGAACTGAAACATTCTTTCGCTATTTACTGAAACATTGTTTTTATATAAGGTGAAACAACACCCGATTTAAACGAGTGAAACATTTTTGATCTACTTAGTGAAACAATTCTGATATACCTGGTGGAACATCGTGTAACAATTTAAAAATAATACAGTAATAAGCTAAAAAAATTTCGTTGGAATATATCCATGTGTGATCTTGTTTTGAAGATTTAATTGCAACAAATTTAATGGTACAATCGGATAATGATTTGGATAAGTAATTTAAGAGAAAAATTAGTTTAAAATAGTTTTGTACGTAAATCGAGCGCTGACATCAATAGCCTGATTTTTGAAGTTTTAGATGGGGCGACCTCACCTCCCATTTGTCAACACCCCACAGAACATAATGATGGTGAGTAGTAATGATTCGACAGCTATTTAGTAATTCCGTAAAGACTAAGCAAGGACACGTCAAATGAGAAAACACATTAGAACTTGAATAACTGATTTTAGTAATTACTATAAACTTAAAAAAATGATTGATATTTTAGAGCAACTTCTCTATACACTATTTAACTATTTAAAAAACGTGCTAACATAAATCAGGATAGAATCTGTATCAGAAAAGAACGGTGCCTCGCTGGTACAGTGTTACACTAGTGTTTACACGCTTCTTGCTTATACATAGCTAGTGGGTGGAGCTGTACATGAGGACGAAGAAGTCGATCTCGGAGACGGCCGTCTCCGGCGAGGTCTTGCCGATGAGCTTGAGGAGGTAGTACCCTCGCGCCAGCCTCAGCTTGCCGGTGCCGCCCACGATGCTGCGCTCCGCCGTGCCGGCGAAGCCGAAGAAGGGGCCCTCCAGCGACAGCGTGCTCCCGTTGAGCTCGCCGGCGGTGAACGCGACGGTGGCCGACGTCAGGTACCCCGGCGAGCTCCGCCCCGTGCCGACGATGAATCCCTGGTACCTCCCCACCAGCGGCGACGCTGCCCTGTCCTCGCCGGTGCGGAGCTCGTTGTCGAACACGGCCACCTGCCCGAACGTCGTGTTGAACGGCGACGCCACGACGCCGCCCTCGGTGGCGTTCGGCCCCGAGAACGTCTCGTGCATGTACAGGTGGATGTGCTTCAGCTCCCCGCCGCCGCCGCCGGCCGCAACACCAGCCGCCGACGAGGCGACCAGGAACACGAGTAGCAGCGACGGCATCGGAGACATGATGATGATGATGATGTGTTCCTGGGTGTCACAATGAGCTCAGGATGTGAGAAGCTGAGAGTGCATTATATTAGGAACGTTAAGGCCTGGTTTAATTCCCTTTTTTTTTAAAAAAAAAACATCACATCGAATCTTTGACATATGCATGAAGTATTAAATATATATAAAAAACAAAACTAATTATACAGTTTGCATGCAAATCAAGACACGAATGTTTTGAGCCTAATTAGACCATGATTAACCATAATTGTTACAGTAATCTACATATGCTAATGATGGCTTAATTAGGCTCAAAAGATTTGTCTCGCGGTTTCCAAACGAATTATAAAATTAGTTTTTTCATTCGTGTCCAAAAACCCCTTCCGATATCCGATCAAACATTCGATGTGACATCTAAATTTTTTTTTCGCGAACTAAACAGAGCCTGAGAACCTCTCCATACCATCACATCACCAAAGTCGTACGTAGATAAGATAAAAATATAAGTTAGTAGTAGAGAAAGATATGATGATCATTAGTAATGAAAAGAAAGTAGTTAAAGGTATTATTGCAAATATACAACTGTTTTCCTTCTACTAGTTGTTGTTGTTGGCTTGTCGCTGTCGTACTTTTCTAGCTAAAAATATCACTCATTTACTCGCATTCTAATTTCTAAGTGCTCATAGCCTCAAATGGCAGCCATTGAGCATTAAAAAAAATCTTTTTCCCGAATCTGGTCCCAATTCCCCTAACAGATCAGGAGGGGCTGTAGCATTTTATATGAAAGTGATATTGAAGGATGAATGACACTTTACCAAATTTCTCCATGGCGTGGCGTCGTGATCCATCACATTTCTCTCTCCAGGAATCATGAAGAAATAGTGTGTTGTGTTCTCCGAGATAATGTAAACTTGCCAATGCAGAGTTTGTTCATTCAATACCAAATATAATAATTCAATTTGGAAAACCTTGAGCATGTCTTTTAGCCCTTCTGTTATTATTTGAAGGAATATAGTTGTCAACCTCTTCCTCGTATGCTGGGTGCTGCTAGTTTGATTTTTTTTTTTACAAATATACTTATTTTTTTAGTAATTTACATTTATATACATCTATGAAAAGTTTTATAAAAATATACCCGTCCTGTGACGGTCCCGTGGAACGGTTGTGTGGGACCGTCGCGGTCTTGTGGCTCCAAAATGCGGGACCGGTCCCGCGGTCCCAAAACGTGCAACCGCGATGCTAGCGGCTTTGACACTGTTCCCCACTACCCGGTACTGTGTAGTACTGTTCCCGGACTGTCTGATACTGTTTGTGCGTCGTTCCGCATAACGGAGGCGCGGAATCGTCGGGTGAACAGTGCAGTACAGTGTTGGAACAGTGACCCACAGTGTGAAAATCAATGACGTCACGGTTACGCGTTTTGGGACCGCGGTACCGTCTCCGCGTTTTGGAGTTGTGGGACCGCGACGGTCCCGCACCACCGTTCCGCGGGACCGTCGGTCCCGCGTTTTGGATTTGTGGGACCGTCGCAGGACGGGTATATTTTTGGAAATCTTTTTTTTATAGATTTATATAAATTAACGTACATTATAAAAAAATAAGTATATTTGTATTTTTTTTCCCTGCTAGTTTCTTATTCAGAATGCATTCCGTAAAATGATTGGGTGGAAAGTGGCAAAACTGTGCTCTACAAGAAACAAAATTCAGATCAGCAGTTAGCTTGAACTAAGGGATCAAATGCCAAAAGTCAGAGATTTCGAGGACATTGGAACTCGTGTTGAAGTTTGCACGTACTACTCCCTCCGTCCCAAAATAAGCGCAGATATGAGTTTTCTTGTCCAACTTTAATTGTCCGTTTTATTTGAATTTTTTTAAAAATAAAAAACATAAGTCACACCTAAAATATTTTTAGACTCGGCGGAGGGATTTAATTAAACTTATTCCTTGCCACATACGTGCCGGCCCAATATGTTATTTGGGCCGGAACGGGGTTGCCACGTACTGCGTGCGGGCCGAATATTTGTTGGGCCGGAGTAGGAACAAGGGTGAAGGGTTTGGCCTGTTGGGCTAAAATGATCAGGCTTGGACGGCCCAGATAGCTAGAAACAATGTCACCAAGCAGTTTTGCGGAAAGGCCCTTATAGTATGATGTACGTCCTCAGATTCGATCGCTGCCAACCAATGGTAGCGTAGCCATCCTATTTTGTGCTCTCTTTAACCGCTCGATCGAATTTGTGCGGCTGAGATTTAAGGGGAAATGCAACCGGATGTACGTTTTCTGTATTAACCCTCGAACTAGTCCATATTATCGCATCCTGAATTCCTGATAGACAAGGCCAGGGAGGGATCCTGCAGTGTTCACTGTTCATGTGTCTTCCGTCGTCTGCAAAAGGTTCATGATCCTGAATCTTCAGGAAAGCATATCAAGCATGGTTCTATTTCCTATAATATATAAAGTCATGATCTTTTCTTGTTCCATGTTCCCCTGCTCGATTTCAACTTGAAGTTGCTCTTTGCATGGTGATTTTCTCCTTGACACACATGTGTGCCCTCTTGTTATTGCATCGCAACAAAGCACACCGTGATGTGATGTTGATGTCATGCATGTTGTGTTTGACACATACTGCAATTATTTTCAGCTTTGTGATTTGTGAAGCTGAAGTTGGGGTCTTGGGGACGACCAAAGATAGTCTACTCTTTCCGTCCTAAAATAAATTAACATCGTACTAGAATGTGATGTCATATTTTAGTACAACGTTGATTTATTTTGGGATAGATGGGAGTAGTAGTTGTGGTTAGATTCAGTGGTTGTGACAATCGACTCATCAGATCGGGATTAAAGTCTGAATATTCATGATGCATGGCAGCAGAAAGGTATCGATGTCTATCCCCAAATGGATCTTTTTTTGAGAGAGCACAACTGAATCTTTTGCTCCCTCTTGATCATCACTTCTCTTCTTGCTTCACCATGACGACTGAATCATTTCAGCCAGTATAGCCATTCTATTGACCAACGACTAGACCAAGAAATGCTAAAACAAAGAAGTATAGTCTGTGTTATACGTACTACGTACCATTTATTCAAAGAACTGTTTACATCGACATAGTCAACAAGCAGCTATGACAATATTCAATTTGATTTCTTCCATCCTAACCTTAGACTTTTATTGATGTGCTTGACATAATGATACTCTTATATAAATAAGCCTTCCTATTCTGATCGACTACTCGCTTTCTTCTTCAAATATGGTACATAAGTTTTCTTAATAAAAGTAAAATGAAAGAGTTGAACTCAGATCTGTGCCTTCTACCTGTTACTCAATGCAGAGATCATTGTACGAGCTATTTCTTATTTGGAGTACTAAACTACTTCCTCTGTTTCATATTATAAGACTTTCTAGCATTGCCCACATTAATATAGATGTTAATGAATTTAAATACACATATATATGTCTAGATTCATTAACATATATATGAATATGTGCAATGCTAGAAAGTCTTATAATATAAAACGAAGGGATTACTAATTATTACTTGATGTGCTTATTTTTGTCCTTTATAATTTTCATGGACTAAAATTAAGCCAACAATTATAGTACCAAACATGACCCTGTTGCTCTGTCTGCAGAGGAAGAAAGACAAAGAAGTCCAGAATTTTATTGTCACTGGTCATGTAATTCTAGATTAAATCAGATTGATACCCTTGTAGTACATTTGTACTTCTGCCAAGGGACCATTTTTTTCTCAAGTTGCCAACTTGTTTGCGAAAATATCTCCGGCCGAGTTGTTGAGGGATTTGATTCGGGTTCATGCACCCACACTCCTCTTCATTCCAATGCAGAAAAATTCAGCATCCTGCCACACAAAGTCCCAACTAGACCACTTGCCAGCTCAACTAGCACTATTATACCAACCATTATGCTAATGCTGTCTCATATCTAATGTGTGTTAATAGTTTATTAGCTCTCCAAGAACAATCCAATCTTCAGTAGTACAAATATATGAGAGAGCACAAAGCTTCAAGCCTCCTTCAGACTACAAGCCATTAAACAGAGACGACCAACGACTTAACCACACTTCTTCTTTGTGCTGTCCAACCTCCATTGTTGGGTGTGAAAGCTTTGGCTCATCTGCCATGTGTGGAGGATCCATTCTCGGCGACCTTCACTTGCCGGTGCGGCGGACAGTGAACGCCGGTGACCTGTGGGGAGACGCCGGCAAGGGTAGAGATGGTGGCGACGGCTTGAAGAAGAGGAAGGGGAGTTCTTGGGATTTCGATGTTGATTGCGATGATGATGATGATGATGACTTTGAGGCTGATTTTGAGGAGTTTGAGGATGACTATGGCGATGATGATGATGTGGGTTTCGGGGACGACGACCAAGGTTGGTATTACTGTACAAATCTTCATTTTTCCTATCAATTTTTTTTCACCTTTTCATTTACTTCTTGATCTTTTTTCGGAAACTCACAAAAAGACTTGCGCATGTTTGTATTAAGATTTAAAAGAAGTTAAGTTTTTACAAAATGAAAATCATAAGCACCTGAAATTTCTAGATAATTTAGATGTTCTCGCTGGCTTGATCAGCACATGAAATCTCTGAATATCACAGGGTTGTCACTCTGTCAGGTTCAGGCATTCAGCATGTGTCTTTTTCAAAACCTGATCTCTTTTTTTTTTCTTCGTCGTCTTCTACCTCACGCAGAATCCGACATGAACGGTCTCAAGCTCGCCGGATTCAGCACCACGAAGCTCGGCCTCGGCGGCAGCAGGAAGAGGAAGACGCGATACCGAGGGATCCGGCAGCGGCCATGGGGGAAATGGGCGGCGGAGATCAGGGACCCCCGCAAGGGCGTCCGCGTCTGGCTCGGCACGTTCGGCACCGCCGAGGAGGCCGCCATGGCGTACGACGTCGAGGCACGCCGCATCCGCGGCAAGAAAGCCAAGGTCAACTTCCCCGACGCCGCCGCCGCCGCCCCGAAGCGGCCACGGCGTTCTTCGGCGAAGCATTCGCCGCAGCAGCAGAAGGCCAGGTCGTCGTCGTCGTCGCCGGCGAGCCTGAACGCCAGCGACGCCGTGTCCAAGTCCAACAACAACCGCGTCAGCTCGGCTGGGAGCAGCACCGACGCCACCGCCGCCGCCATCGCCATCGACGACGGCGTCAAGCTCGAGCTGCTCTCGGAGACGGATCCTTCTCCGCCCATGGCCGCCGCCGCCGCCGCGTGGCTCGACGCGTTCGAGCTGAACGATCTTGACGGATCAAGATGCAAGGACAACGCATTCGATCACCAGATTCACAAGGTAGAAGCGGCTGTCGCTGATGAATTCGCGTTCTACGACGATCCGAGCTACATGCAGCTGGGTTACCAGCTCGATCAGGGCAACTCGTACGAGAACATCGACGCGCTCTTCGGCGGCGAGGCCGTCAACATTGGTGGACTCTGGAGCTTCGACGACATGCCAATGGAGTTCAGAGCTTATTGAGCATTTGATTCTATTTAGGAGGGAGTGAATTATTTGGGAGGAAGAATCGATGTTGTAACTTGTAAAATCTCTGATGATGATCTCTGCATCATATGATCAATTTGAGTGCAGTTTTGTTTTTGTAAATACGAATTCTTTATTATGATGTTAGGTTCTTAATTTGCCCTTCTTCATCAGGGATTTGTTCAGGCTTTTGTTGTGATGACTGATTGGACGAGGGAAAGATTGCGTTTTTTGTTGTCATGTTGGGTACTCTACTCTTCTGTTCCTAAAGTTGATAAGTGCCAAAATTTGTGAGAGGAAAAAGATAGTTTGCCATTGAGTTGCTGCTTCTTTCCCTCCTAATTAGGCACATTTTTTCTCCCCGAACTTTTGCCATGTATGTACTTGATCAGTGCTCAGATAACTTTTACCAAGAAAATTGTGGTTGAATTCAAATAAACTTATCTGAATGAGCATGACAATGTTCCAATCCTCGAAGAAGGTTCTTGTAATGTAGTACAGGGAACAAAGAAGATAACTCTAGCCGAGTCAGCTTTCTTCAGAAGAGACGGCTTCAGAAGCAAAGGCTGACACGTTAACCTGTAATTGATGGGGGAGAAAAAGGAGAGGACCTACTCCCTTCATAAAAAACAACTGGACCTCGTCTTTTCTATTATACTTACACTTATCAACTAAAATTTGACTTTTCAATATTAAATTTATAACTGATTTTAAGGTTTTATGTCAAAGTTTATTTTTCGGCTTTAGTTTTTTATCGCTACTCACAAATTACTTTTCATTTGTAAATATGTCGTTTGACTTATTTCACGAATAAATGAAATAATGAGAAGATGTGACCTCTTCTAGTACAACAAAACTGAATAGTAATAATATAAAAAAGTTGATGTCCAGACCCGTTGTACTAGTAGCCATAGTTAAGGTTTTTTTTATACGGAGAGAGTAGTTGCATAAGCGCACGAAGAGACGCAAAGGTACGAGTAATAATAAACTAATTCATTGAGTAGTAATTGTTTATATCACATTTCTCCTTTGCTAGGAAGGAGACGTTGGGGAAGGAAGGTGTCGCCGCGGTTGTTTTGTTTGATCGAGCGAGCACGAGCACGACCGTACGACGGTCTCACTCACCTCACCTGTTCCTCCATCGAGAGAGAGAGATCGCTTTCCATGCTGGACGTTGACCGACCTCACGTGGGCGGCCGCGGCGAGACCTCGTCGGCGCCGAGGCAGAGCGACCCCGCATGGTATAATTTGACCGGCTCGACACGAGCTCAAAACAAACAAGCCAGAAAAAAAAATTGCAATGCATGAACGAGCTTTCAATTATTCAACGTGTACTATATAATATTAAGTCTCCAGTGTGACACAGCTGAAATTGATGAAACTTTTATATAGAATTTTTTTTTACACAAACCGTTTAAGAGCTTGGAGAATATGCAAACGAAAGCCCAAGTCCAGAATAAAGTAACAACAGGGCCTGAAATATCATGATAATATTTACATGTGTACCGAGAGATTATCAGTGGAACACAATCCAATTGGTCTGTTCAGATTTGGGTACTTGAATTATAAAATACTTTGGGACCTTTTTCACATTTGAACCTATAAGTCGTGCAAGGGATTTTAACCCAAATCGACCCATCCGAACAGGACTTAAAAGCTGTACATTTTCCTACCTTTTTCTTTATATACATATTGTGTACATCAATGAGTAATGGAGAGCTTTTCCTTTTCTTTTTTTCCTTTTTTTTTTTGGCATGAACACGTAGAACTAGTAAACCATTTTAGAGAATAGATCATCTAGAGCTGAGTACAGGGGCTGGGCGGCTCTGGGTTTCTCCACCTTCCCAAACAGGATATCAGTTGTGGTCAAGTAAGCATCGCCATAGAAGCGTAGATTGGTCTCTGATCTGGTTGTCACGACATTTCCTTCCAATGAGACCCCAACAAAGGCACCTGTTTCAAGTTTCAAAATAACAAAATCAATCAATCATCCATGTGGTACACCGCAATTATCTAATCTTTTGAAGGAAATCACAGTAGCCTCAATAATCTTAGCAAAGTTTAGGTTCTCAAAGAGGGTGTGTGCTAGCCGTCTGGACCTCTGCTTTTCATCTTTGTGGTTGGTCTATATGCACTTTATCAATCGGAGCTGGAGTCACTTTCAAAGTAAAGCAGCGCAAACAGCCTTTTGTTTAAAAAAAAACTCTTAGCAATTTTAATGTAATTGATATGGCAGAGTTCCTGCCTTGCTCAAAAAAGAAAAAAAAATCAATGTGGTTATTAAGGTCTGTTCTGAGATATTTGCATGTCACAAATTTTTATTCGTCAACCTATCACCAGTTCGATGTTGCATTTACTTTCTCAAGGATGTAAAGTACCATGAAAGCAAAAAAAAGAAGAATATTATCTGATGCCAACTTGATTAACATTGCACATTTTGTTTTCTGTATCAAGGTGGGGACACTAACTAGTTCTTTGACAAGCAAAAGATATAACCATGTGTAGAAGTACATGACTTTCTAGTTGATAAAAATCCTAGAATATGTCGATAATATTCACCCTAGCTTCTGAATCTGCTATTTCTAATGTATAAACATGCTCTGAAAAGGGTAGTAATAATGTGAAGAGGTAGTTTTCTTATTATTACCTTTGCTACAGCTGTAAGTGTAGCAGAGCCCAGAACCTTTTTCACTGGCCCTAACATCTGCTTCAAAGGCCCTGCCAATTGGTCCTGCTGCTGCACTTAATCCTGCCCCAAGAGAAAGATGCATGCGACTGCTGAATGCCTTGACAGCCTTACGATCATGAAGTACAATTATAAAATCTGTCAGTTCGCCACCAAACTGGAAAAAGAAAAAAGCCACCATCAGAGGAAGATAAAATTCCTAAAAATAAAGTACATCTCATTAGAATTCTCACTGTTTCCATATCATTTGCTTCTTTCTGTTGAATGTAAACATTGATTTGCACATGCAGCATACTTAAATATACTCGAGCAAAGCAAAGCATTGCAGTAACACATTAGACAAAAAAAATACTCCCCCCATCCACAAAAGTTACACCTATTACTTTTATCACCAAGACCAAGGAGTGAATGCAAGCATGCAACCAATGAGTATTTAGATGACTCGGTTCTAATCAAACATTTAATTTATCTCTTCATTTAAGTCTTGGGTGCATAAAGACTACAAATAGGAACAACTTATTTGGAAAAACTCAAATGTGAAATATGTTTAACTTTTGTGGATGGAGGGAGTACATCAGCACTGACTATGTTAATTAACTTGCTTATGCACTACCATCCATATGGCAAATCATAAATGCAAATCCGGTGTGCTCAGCCTATCTTAAATTATTAACATAAAGGTTCTTGTTCTTGGTGAAGGCCACAAGAATTTATATCTAGTAAGTTCATAAGCAACAGATGATGCATGTGCATTGAACCATTGAGATTTGAGAAAGAGAAGATTTTATTGGACAAAAACCTGAACTCCCCATCCCAGGCCAACAGATGCAATTGCTGATGGGGCAGACCATGATCCATCTGATCTTCGGGCAACTACAAGGCCAGTGCCAACTTTGTATGTAAGAACTGCACCCGCCTTGGCAACTGTTATCACAGCAAGCCCCTTAGCTCCCTTTAGAATAGATGATGGGATGGACTTCTCAGGGTTTAATCTAGCAACCTGCATATTTCAAAACAGAAACTTTTCTCAGTTCAGGATGACAAAGGTAATCTCTTTGAGCAAAACAACCCAAATCATGCATACCTGGCAATATCTATTTAGTGTATTTGTTGCCTTGTATATCTCATACTCCATTGATAAACCAACAGGCAAGTTCAACCAGCTTCTTGTGCTTGTCCAATCCATAACATCATGTTTTGCTGGCTGCATGGCATTGCTATTGTAATTGATCAATATTCCCTGAAGTGGATCGAGCCTATCGTAGCAAGCATCACACACTCTCTGAGGATCACGCTGCCTGAACTTCATGGGCATCAAGCATCTTCCCTTGGAACAATCTTTACAGAAAATACCTCCACAGAACCGGCAATGGTGCCTTCCACGAGTCAGAGCTGTGAAAGGCAAACTGCATTGCAGGCACACACTGGTAGAGCTATCTGGTAACCATTCTGGAGGATCTGCCTGTAGCACCTCCCTGTATGCACTGTATTGTAAAGCATTTGTTTCAAGTAGTGGTGGCGCACTAGGAACGCATACAGATGGATGTACATTAACATCACCATCCTTGTCAAATCCTAGAAATGAGACATCCGTGCTGAAACTTTGCTGCTGCAGTGTATTATCCTGGTTCTTATTTGTGCCCGAAACAATAGCAGCCAGCCCAGTTAGGACAGTCTTCAAATTGATATTTGAACTAGCTCGTGTTGGAACAAATGGATCTTCTCTAGAATCGTACTCCGATGGGAAATCTGGCTCCAGGGACGGTTCATAGAGATAATCCTGCGCTGGGTAAATGTTTGCTGGAACTAGACTAGATAGATGACCTCCCTGGTTGTTGCTATCGATTTTGGAGAGGGAAGAGTACGATGTCACTTCATTCGGGGCCCCCATAGAATCATTTAGAGACAACAATCATGTGGCAACAACACAAGATCACCTGCAAGTGATTGCACATAACTTACAGTCAGCAAACAGGCATTACAATTTGAGTCCAAAAACAACAAAGCCTTTGTATTTGAGAATGACGATTCTTAGTAGTAGCTTTGTACTTCTACCCCAAAAAAAAAACAAAAAAAAAACAAAGGAGCTTTCTACCTGTACACTTTCAACATCAACAATAACCAATGCAACAAACTGAACAGGTCACGGTTAGGATCCATGCCATTCCAAGTGCCACCATAAATCTATCTGAATGCATATTTAACTGAAACTAAAGGTGAGCTGCGCTCTTACAGCTAAGCTTGAAATAATTCCCCAATAGAGATAATCCGAACCATGCTACACCTAGCGTGCATGTGCAAGCAACTAAGACAAACAAAGATCACGAAACCCTAACATGGGATAGACCAACAAATTAACCCTACACGGCTACACCAAATCAACACTAATCAATAATAGACGCGATGAATCCAACCCCCAATTCAACGCAATCCGATCGCTCGCCAGGAGCAGAGCAGAGCACACCGCTCGCTAGCTGGCCGCCCCCAAATCCCATCCTAATCCGTACATCGGCGAGCAAAAACGAAGGCGAATCCAGGAGAGGAAGGGGATCAGCGAGCTTGGCGCTTACCGGATCGAATCAATCGGAGGCGGTCGCGGGGGGATTCGGGTGGCGGCGATCGCCGGGGCGGAGGAAGCGTCGGAGTTGGGGATTGGGGTTTCGTCGGAGAAGAGGAGAGGAGAAGCGAAAGGCTACCGCGTCCTCTCCTCATCTTCGCGTTATCGGGTTTCGGGTTGGCCGCGCTCGCGTGATTGCGGGTTTCACGGGATGCGGGCGGCGCAAGGACCCGACACCCGACCGACCGGGACACGTGTCGCGTTGACGGGCCGGGTCTCCTCGCCCGCTAAGGGCCCACGTATTTGGCCCATCCAGCTTGGGAATTTTTTTTGGGCCGAGGCGAGAGGCGAGAGGCGAGAGCCACCGGCCTCGTCGTCGGCGGCGGGCGGCGGCGGCGGCGCTGCGTGCGGGAGCGTCGAGCTGGGTGGCCGCTTTGCACGCCGTCGGTGGGGATCGCTACTTCGCCGCCGTCTCGGCTCGTCGCCGGCTGCTTCTCCTACCGCTGCCTCTTCCGGCCACCGGTCGCCTGCGACGGTGAGTGTTTTCCTTCAAGCGGTTGCAATTTGCAAATCATCTCTGAACATTCAGTGGCACGAATGGCTTAGTTTGGGGATTTTCTACGATTTCTGGGGCACTAGCTAAGAGAAAGCGTAGAACACTTCAAAAACTAGGGAATATTTTGGGGCGGATTTTTAGGGGAAATAAAGAGATATGGCAATGCCATCAACATAGAGTCATAGAGAATCTTGTTATTCATTTATTTCATTCATAGTATCCATGAAAAGGCCAGAGCATTACATCAATTTCTTCCATTGAAAACCCCACAAGAACTGGCCCTGAAATCAACTAAACCCTTAGAAACTAAATGGATGCATTCGTTCCTCGATTTCTGTTTTTCTTCACCCCTGGATCAGCACTGCAACAATGGAGCACCCATTGCCCATTCTTTTCACCGGGTAAGGCCAGATCATTTGGTGGAGGCCTCTCCCTCAATGGCCAATGGAACGGTGGTAGCCTGCACAAGAACACAAAGCAACAGTACAAGAATAAGCACAAAGGCTATAGGCTGAGATGAAATGGATGAAGGAAAGTGCGATAATGTTGCGCATACCATCTTGCGGTACTTGAGGGCGTACAGCATCTCCAGGTAGCGGCGTGTCTCACGCCTGTCGAGGTTGGTGACATACTTCCAGAAACCGTAGACACCGGAGAGAGTCATCAGCCTCTCAGAGTAGAGCTTCCATGTGTACCTGCATCGATATCAAGTGGCAACATCTCAGTTAGATCCTAGATAGTGTTCATCTTCATCATATGGTAACATGGTAAGACGAGAATTTTGCATACTTCTCCTCGATGCGCTGAAGTCCACCCTGCGAGATCTTGATCCAGTGGTTTGGGTCTTCCTGACACTTCTCAAAGAACTCCACGAGCAGCGCCGAGGCCTTGTCGTTCTGGTAAGGATCAATGTGGTAGCCAGACACGCCGTGCACGATGATCTCGGCTGGACCACCATAGGCAGTTGCAAATGTTGGAAGACCACAGGTCATGGCCTCAATCACAGTTAGCCCAAAGGCCTCATAGAGAGCGGGCTGGTTGCAAAAAGAAAAGAGAAAATCAGAACTAGCTAACACTACAAATTTGTTGGAGAGCTCATAGCTTGACAGTGTTCATCACCTGCACAAAGGCTCCCCTCATGTCGCAGATGTAGCGGTAGAGCTCACCATTGCGGACACGGTTCATCTGAGCGGAGATCCAGCGGATGTGGCCATTCAAATTGTACTGCTCGATCAGATTAAACATCTTCTTGAACTCAGCCTGCTCTTCTTTGTCCTTGGATTCCTTGCCATGGTCACCACAGACAACCACAAGGTTTACTAGCTCTTGCAGGCGAGGGTTCCGACCATACAACTCAACCAGACCAGTCAAATTCTTGACATGGTCTAGCCTAGCCATCGAGAAGATGATTGGCTTCTTCTTGTCCTTCAGAACAAACCTACAGAGGTAGTCCAGTAAGATAACAGGCATGATATGCATATGTTGAGTTACAACTCAAACTGGTAAAAGATTATACAATACTCACTTGTGCTCAGTGTTTTCAACATCACTGAAGAGTAGCTCCTCTATCTCTAAATGGAGAGAGGTGAGCCTCTTCTGTGATTCGGTGAATGGGAAGTAGATGGACATGTCAGCACCAGGAGAGACGATGTTGAACTTGGGGTCAAAGACATCGATACCATGGACAACACGATAAAGGCCAGGCATTGTGAATGCCATGTGAGACTCATACTGCCCCACAGTTTCCTTGCTGAAAATTGGATGATGATGTAAGATCAGCTTATGCCATTTACAAATATCCAGAAAGTTTGTAAAAGGAAAATCTTACTTTCCAGCAATCTCCTGGAAGGTACTTGTGATGATGAAGTCAGCATGGTTCATTGCAATCAGGTCAGCTGTGAACTGGCAGGAGAAGTGATAGTGATCCTCAAACTTCTTCCAGTAAAGGTCGGAGTTGGGGTACTTGGTTTTCTCAAGTGCATGGGCGATTGTACACTGCACATGATGGAACAAGAATACTACAGTGAATAATTGAAATACTATGCTTATCATAAAAAAAATTGTATTGAATAAGGTGCTAGAATTCGTACATGAGTGACACCCAACTTGTGTGCCAGCAAACATGCAACAAGGTTGCCATCACTGTAGTTCCCAATGATCAGGTCAGGGGTGGCCTGCAGCTCTCCAGAAATCTCGTGTGCCACATCCTGAAAGCAACAGAAAAGAATGATAAGTTGATCATTTTTTTTAAGGAACCTAAGTTGATTATTTTGATGAAACGATGACAATAAACTTGTTGGAAGATGAGACATACATCGGTGTAAGTTTCCAGGTAAGGCCAGACTTCAAAACGCGAGATCCATTTGCGAACAGTCCCATTTTCTGTTCGGAATGGCACACGCAGGATATGAGTGTGCTCAGTGCCTAGGACCTTCTCAAGGCGCTGGCCACATGTGGTGCCATGCGCATCAGGTAGCAACCTGGTCACCTATGTAATACCAAAAAGGCCTCATTATTTGGAATCAATTAAAGTGCAAGGTTGTAATTGACCTTATTGGGTATTGAACTTACAATGAGAATTTACGTTCAAATAAAAAACTTACAATGAGAATCCTTGGTGTGATGTTTAGACCTTGTTGCTTGATCCTCAGCAGCATCTCATTCTCCATAGCACGGACTTGATCCAAAATGTAGACAACCTGTAAGTTGCCATCACATAAGAAAACTGGGGCATCAGTCTTGGACTCTTGGTGGTTTCAATTATATAAAGAGGTAACATTCCAGCTCGTAGAACTGGATAGTATATTACCTGCCCACCGGTATCAGGGTACCCCAAGACATTAGCCTGTGCAAAGTAACCATGCGGGGAGAGGATAACAACATTGAACACCATTGGGATTGTTCCAAGGAACTTCTCCAAGGCGGACGGCTCAGGGGCCTCAAGAAGGTCCAAGAGAAGGTGAATAGTCTCACGCACTCGCTGAGCGCAGTCACCCCAACCCTTCTCCAAACCAAGCTCTTGGAACCTAAATTTATTGATGAAAGAACATTGTCAGATATGCATTGATAGTAACTTCTATTTGGTCAGACATTGCATGACGATTGTGCAGTACCTGTGATGGAACTCTGAATATGGGGTGTCAGCTGTAATGCCTGCAAGATGTTTTTCTGCCTTCCTCAATGCACCTTGGAGAGCATCGAGACTGCGAATCCTGTCGTTCAACATCATGGTCTGAAAAAGGACGGACATAAGTTATTGCAAACTCCGCTTGATTCAGCAATGAGTAGTAGTTCCAGTTGTCATGGCAAAGGCAATGAATACAAGGATTCAGACAACACACTAGTTTATAAATCATAGTAAATATATGGATCGGTTAATCAAATCAAGAAATCGGAAAGTGTAACCTACCATCCCTTTGTAGTTGTGCGCACGAAGAAAGTTGAGCAGGGGGTACATGCTCTCTTTGTCATGGAACAGCTTTGACGACAGGTGCCTGTTCAAGAACTGCACCCCATTGCCAATAGACTTCGACAACGATGGGCGAGGGAAGGAGGCATTGAATGGCTCAAAGTCCAGCTCAAGCACAAAGTTGTTCTGGGTGCTGAAAACAATCACATGATTGTCAAATCAGGAATCTAAGGTATAACTTTAAGCATGGTATTGGTTAAAATCACAGCTCCAGATACCTTCCATCCACAAGCTGCTCCTTGAACTGCAAGTATTCAGGGACACTCAGCTCCTCAACACCAAGCTGGCTTACATTGATCCTCAGATACTCCCAGACACCAGGCCTTGGGCGAATGGCAAGGGCAATCCATGGAGGGATGACAATCGCCTCCTGCACAACAAACCAGCAACATTTTTTTACATCAGAGCTGAACATTTGGGAGTACCATTCAGCATGATAGTGCAGTGAGTTCTGCTGATGCAAACCTGTGCTCCCCTCAGGACATCCTCTAAGGCAGAGTCCTTCAGCTTCTCACGCTCGCCCTCAGGGATTGCGGCGTTGTACTCAGCAATGATCTGGTGGGGCTGTAGCATTCCCTTTCCTTGGTTCACAAGCCTGAACAGAAAATTGCATAACAACAGTTATTTTAGATTTACCAACTTTGTATTACTTGAAATTCGAAAATGTATTGTTTTGTGGGAATGAACAAAAACTTTTTTCCTTTTTTTTAAACAAACAGAACCGATTTAAATATTTTTTTTGTTCCATATGTTAATCCATTGATATGATGGAACTGTAAAAAGCACTATATTGGAAATACAGGAATATTTCTTGACACTATACAGAACAATTAAAACAGATCACCGTCAGAAATTGTTCTCTCCAACTGAAAAATTAAAAGCACTTCTACTGAGAGTTACCAAAGGATATTATAGAAACGACGGAATGGATAATAGCAGATATATTCTGGGGTGATCATCAGACTTAACAATTTACAGCTAAGATCATGGTTGTATTGGGCATGTAGTAAATGCACTCTTTATCCAGCTAACATCAGCATAACTTTGAGATAAACAAAGCAATCAATATGCATCATTTGAACTAGATCTTTGTACTTGTAGATCAATACAAATTAAAATGAGAAGGATTTAAGTGCAAACCTTGAGAAGACAGCCACAAGCTCATTGGTGTGCGCGGAGAGGGAATCGCCGATGCGCTCCCTCATGCTGTGGAGACGGGTCAGGGCACGTTCTCCAGTAGTTTCCCCCATTGCTATCTTCTAGATGGATCCTCAAGCCTGAAAAACACAGACAGTTTATGAGTCCATTGAATGGACAAATGTTTTCAGTGAATAAACAGAATGATTTTTGAATAAATAAACAGAATTTGGATGTACTTATCTAACAAAAAGGTACTAAAACCCCTACTAGAAGTCAAAAACATTGCCATGACATTTGGACATCAAACATGGAAAGCACAAAGGGATAAGCATCATAAAATACAAGACTATGAACAAAGATACAAAAGATTAGTGACATTAGCTACAGCACTTCTGAGGAGCCCATAATGAGTGCCAGGTTCAAGGACATGAGAGTGGCACATCATGGAAATTATATTTAAAACTTTTGGGAAATTTTTGCTTAAATAACAATCTTTACGAGTAGGATAAAACAGAAACAAAAGGTTGCCAGATCCTTTTCTTGTCTCTGAATAAAGTTGCTAAATCTTGCTTCCTTTGTTAGAGAACACAGATCATGCAAGAAGAAGAACTCCAAAAGAGAAACCATAAGCCCAGAGCTTGCAAAATGGCATGTCCTGTATATGCAGCCGGCAGGCAGGACCTGCAGTTCTGTGCTGGATGGATCATAGCTACTCTCAACTTCAGAGAACAAACACAAACAAATCGACATTCTGAACCAAAATTCAGAGCAAGAACCCACACCAATACCAGAAACCCAAGCTGATGCAACCAGAAAAAAATTTAGCACCCCCCACTAATCCAGAGATCTCAGAAAAGTCCCTACTGTAATTCAGAGATCAACCATAACATCATGCATCCATAGCAACAATCCTAACAAGATCACTATGGACATAACACAGAACTACAGAAGCACTCTGCACTTCACAGTTCACACACACACACACACACACATGCTCTTCTCTACCTTGCACTAAAGGAGAAGAGGAGGAAACTCTATGGATGAACAGAGCAGAGAACCGATGGATGCTGGGAGAGCGATGCATCCACCTGTATTTATACACGAAAATGTGCAGGGAGGCGTGGGCCATGTGTCCCCTGCCTCACTCCCTGGTCCTCACTATCTTCCATCTTCTGTTTACTTTACTTGGCTTTCCACCACAAAATGACACCTGTTTCTGCTGCTCTTTCTTGGCAGGTTTGCAGCAACGGCTGTATGGGGATCGTAAAAGCTTCAGCTTGCCGGTAAACAGAAAAAAATGCGTTGGCATTTGTCTGTTGCACTAATATCTGTTCAAAAATGAAGTGCAGTAACCAGGGTTCACAATCCCAACCAAAACCGTCCTTCCCAGGACAGCTCGACAGCACAAACTTCAAGGTTTCCCGGCTAAGTTAAAAAAAAAAAACTAAAATTTAAAATTTTGACAAATTTTGTCTATTTTTGCTGGTTTACCAACGGTTTTAACGAAAACCAGAGATACCATTCGTGAGTAGTATTTGGTCAGGTAACGGGATTGTGAACCTTGGTAATATTACTAATTACTGTCCATATGAGCAACGCTTTGGGTGAAAATTACCACTAGATTACTGGAGAGAAGTGCATCACACCATGCACGAGCTTGCTGCCTCTGCTGATAGATTAGTTAGCTGGCTACCATACATGCTGGTACTGTACTTGTCGCATAGCATTGCATATGCATGGGCCTTGCATTCTGCTAGCTAGCTACAGCAGCATGTCATTTACCAGTAACCTTTTTTGTTTTCACAAGAGCCATGCATGCATGCTGCTGCTCAGCCTCTGTGCCGTTGGAAGCGTCATGAACGAACGCTAAAATTCGCATGGCGCATCAGTAGATGTTCATCGCACGCATATATGTTGCACAAGTGCTAAACTCGTGGTCGAGAGGCACCCATCGGTGAGCGTTGGGTGTGTGATGAGCGATGTCGTTTAGTAACTTTTATTGTCAATTGATCGGTTGAGCTATGGTTGATAAGTGGTAGAAAAATGAACGAAGCAACTAAAAATGATTTATAAATGATCTATAGATAAAATTTTATATCTGACTATTAGCGGTTTAAACTGCAATAGTAGAAAATACACTACGATGGAAACACCCTAAAATCTAACTCCAAAATTAAGTTTCGAAAAGTACATTTAATTTTTTTTTCTTAGCTAATCGCCTGCAGGCATGCTTCCATGAAGGTCTTCTCAAGGTATTTAACACTTCATTTTTCAGATGTACTACGGTTGGAACATGCAACCAATCTGAAGGACTGCAAGTTGGAATTGAACAAACCAATCTGCGGATTTCGCAGATGGGTTCAGCCTTCAGAAACGTACGGTACAGCTGCTCCCGTTCGTCTCCAGCCCCGGTTTTTCTCCATGTTCCTCCCTGACACAATGGATTATCGATTGTTCCTGCAAACTGTTGCTAGCTGCTGCCTGCAATGCAAATGCAGAACAGAACATGCAGCTAGCTCACTGAAGAAGCAGCTGTGTAGGGTAACTCGTCTACTGCCGACCTCTCAATGTGCCGACCTAAGATGCATGCCTGCCAGGTGGCGGTGTGTTTGTTTTTGTTTTTTTCTTGGCTACAATCTTCTACTCCCTCCATCCCATAATATAAGTCCCATAATATAAGGAATTTTGAGTTTTTACTTGTACTGTTTGACCACTCGTCTTATTAAAAAAATTTGGAATTATTATTTATTTTTCTTGTGACTTACTTTATTATCCAAAGTACTTTAAGTACAACTTTTCGTTTTTTGTATTTGCACAAATTTTTTAAATAAGACGAGTGGTCAAACGGTGCAAGCAAAAACTCAAAATCCCTTATATTATGGGAAGGAGGGAGTAGAATTGTAATCGTGTACTACCTCCGTCTCTGAATAAGTCATTTTAGTACATGACTTTAACTTGATAGGCATCTATCTAGATTCGTGGTATTAGGATATAACTTGTATTAGATTAATTTATTCTGAGACAGATGTAGTAATTTTTCATGTTATATGCTAACTTCGCGCTGTCTTACGTGGGTTATTTCAAAAAAAAAAATTGCATGTCTAGCCATCTGCTTCAATGCAAACGAGTACTCATCATGCATTTTCAGTTCACCTCCTGAATTTCAGTACATTCTGCGTCACGGTTCTCCTTCTGCTTGTGAGTTTTGGTCCTTCCCAGCGTGCTTGGCAACCACTCTCTCAGTCTTAAAATATATTCATGATTCCAATGTATCTCAAAATACAATCACTTCTCTATCTACCTCCTCGTCTTAATCAGTCATAGCATTTCTTCATTTAATTTCTTTATCTATTTTTTTATGCCAACCAATCACAATCATTTTTCACCCTAAACTTCTGACAACCAAGTATTTGCAAAGAAACAATTTTCACTGGTTTTTATTGGAGAATTATTATTCAACAAAATATCAATTCTTTCATGATGATACGTACCATGCACGTTCAATTGGAACGATCGATCTATAAACTTACCTCTTCCTCCCAAGTGCTTCTCAATGGATCTCCGGGGCAAGCAATAAACCATGTCCGAGGCCTTAGACAAGGGGATCTACTCTCGCTGATGTTGTTCATCCTAGCAATGGAACCTTTTCATCGAATTCTTAAGGCGGCTGAAAATGCATCTCTTCTCTCTCCGATGGGTGGGAGTTTTGACAGATTCAGGTGCTCCCTGTATGCAGACGACGTGGCAGTTTTTGTAAAGCCTTAGGCTTCAGACTTATCGGTGCTTATAAGACTCCTAACTTTCTTTGCGCAAACCTCTGGCCTTCACACAAACATCAGTAAGACAGAGATCTACCCGATCAGATGTGAAAACATCAACCTCGTATCTCTTCTTGCAAATTTCCCTGGAATGGTAAAGCAATTCCCTTCTCGCTACCTTGGCCTGCCTCTCCATATCCGAAAGCTAAGGAAAATCGACTTCCTGCCGCTAATCGAAAAAATTGGCTCGTGAATTCCCGGCTGGAAAGGTAGGTTCTTATACTTCGGCCGGAAGGAAAACGTTGGTCCAATTGGTCCTAAGCTCTATGCCAATTCATCACTTCACCGCGTTGCAAGTGCCCAAATGGGTGATAAAAAGAATTGATCGCTTTAGGAGATCTTTTCTTTGGAAAGGAGAAGACCCTGACAAAACCAACCCAGGCAGCAGTTTAGTTAATTGGCAGACGGTGTGTAAGCCAAAAGTTTTGGGTGGTTTGGGCATCCTGGATTTAGAGAGGTTTTCGCGAGCCCTTCGTCTTCGTTGGCTTTGGCTCAGTTGGAAGGATGAAAACAAACCATATGGGCTGGCATGAGCATTCCCTGTGATGATACAGATAAAAGGTTGTTTCAGGCAGCAACGACAATTGAGCTAGGTGATGGCGCAAAAACAAGCTTTTGGCATGACAATTGGCTACAAAACAGCTTCCCAAAAGACATTGCACCACTGTGTTTCAAGTTGGCAAAAAGAAAGCAAAAAAGCGTCCATTAAGAGCTCCATAACAATAATTGGTTGATCTCTTTCAGGCAAATAACATCAGTAGAAGAAATCCACGAACTTGTTTACCTTGGGAGCATGCTTCAGGGAGTCCTGCTTACCCCGCGTCCTGATGACATCTCTTGGAATTGGAATGAATCCAAAGTTTACACAAGTAAGAGTGCTTATCTTTTCCAATATCAAGGATCTTTTGTTTCCTTAGATTTCTCTTCGCTCTGGAAAGCGCCGGCTGAGCCGAAACTTAATTTTTTTGGCTGGCTAGTCCTCCACCAGAAAACTCTTACAGCTCAAAACTTGTTGAGAAGACACTGGCCGTGTAATTGGATTTGTAGTTTATGCACAAGCGCCTTTGAAGACACTAATCATCTGTTTAGCGAATGCCCCTTCTTCAAGGAAGTTTGGTCTCTAGTTACTTCCTGGCAGCATTTACCTACAAACAATGTTGGCCTCTCTGTCGGAACCTCTGATTGGTGGGCCCAAATCAATTGCGTGGGATCGAAGGAGCAAAAGAAGGCGATGAGAGGAGCTCTGCTTACCACTTGGTGGAATGTTTGGTTAGAAAGAAACAGGAGAATTTTCATCAACATTTCAACCTCAGAGAGAGCAGTGGCATATATAGTAAAACAAGATCTTGATCTCCGTTGCTCGGCTTTTAGGCCTCCATAGTTTTCTGTTGTTTCGTGCCATGTATTGTTGTACCGTTTTCTTTTTATTTTCTGGACTGAACTGATTTGTACTATTTTTTCTTCCTTCTAATTAAATTCTGGCAGATCTCCTGCTGTCGTTCTCCTTAAAAAAAAACTTACCTCTTACAATATAACTTCATCTGTCCTAGAATGTAATAATCTAGTATAGAATATATGGATATTACAACGAATTTGCAGAATGTGTTTCATTATGTACTAGTTTGTTATATTTTGAAACAGGTGTAGTAGTAATTACTAATCCCCTAGGCACATGAAAAGGCACAAGAAGAAAGTAGCGATCGACAGTCCAATGCCACTTCCCTCGACACACCGTTTCACTATCCACCTTTTATTGCTCGTCTGGTCTGCACCAGCGCTTGCGATCAATGCTCCGAAAAGCATCATAAGGAAGAAAAACGTTATCCAGCTGATCTGAAAAAGAAAAAATTATAACATAAAAGTTTTATCGCGGCCTGAAAGTTTTGATTGTGAATGAATTGCAGTTAATGTCGGGTGTTCTTGTAAAGGTTTAGAATTTTGTTTTATTTATTTTCTAGTTTCTAAAAGATGTGAGTGAACTGATGACATGCATTGCTATATCTTTATATAAAGGAATAGAAATAAATGACAACATGACGAATAGTAAATTAGATCTAGAGTGCCGATTTTTTTCTCTTCTAATTTCACTATAGATCTTGGCAAAACTATCCGAAAACTGTATATTTAGCCAATGAATTGCAAACTACGTACTCCTACCTATTTATCGTCGATTTTTTTACAAAACCATGTACATGAAATTACATCAAAATAGCTGTGTGAAATCGTTCTGGACATCTAATATACCATATGAGAAAATTCCTTATGTGCCCACGAGTTTTCGGTCAATCCCTACGTATCTCTGAATTTTACTTCATCCTCTATATATATGTCCGAGTTTTTAATTCGAGTTTTTAAATTAAAAGGGACATGATTATTGACACCAGATTTCAAAACAAAATTTATATTTTCAAACATTTTTTTAAAAAATAATGAAATCCAAAAAAGGTTTTATACGGAATTTGAAAAGGAGAAATTGTTTCTTATTTGGGTTTAAATTTCAGCAAAAAATTTTGAATGAATTTAATCAAATCTGATTTGAAACTTATTTTAAAAATCTAAGTTTTAGTTTTCAAATTTATGATCAAATAATTATTTCTTGTTTGTTTTTATAAACAAATCAACTTTGATGTTGAGAGCCGTAATTTTTTTTTCAATTTACTATACTAAGCAATAAGTAAGACAAAGGGGGTAATAATGACATTTTTGAACAAATCTAATGGTCAAATGACAATCAACTCACGGAATGGGCACATAGCCTATAGGGGATAAAAATGAAAACTCAAGAGTACGTTTAGGATAAGACCAAATTCAAAGGCATGGGAGGGATTAGGCGAAAATTCATGGATCCGGAAGGGATTTTCTCAAATATATACAGCTAGGTTTTACGAATCTATCTGAACTTTTCTCCATTGTTAATTTAAATCAGCTAGCCATTGTTAACTCAACAAAACAAAATCAAGTTGGGATTGGATGAGCTTACCCAAATTGGATAGCAAGGGCCTTCTTGATTGCATTCAACCCTCATTGCCTTGTAATGCTTCTTGAGGGCGAAGAAGGTCCCCGTGCAAGCGTGGTACCAGAACCTGCCGACGCGGCCATCCGAGGTCGTCGCCGCCGCCGCCGTGAGCTCGGCGAGGACGTCGCCGGCGCTTCGCCGGCGATCGGCGGCGGCGGCGGGACGTCGACGCAGAACGCCGGCGAAGAAGGTTCTTGCCCTCGCAACGTGGTACAGGACCACGCGAGAGCGGCAGTCCGCCCAGTCGTCGTCGGCCTCGGGCGCCGCGGCCGCCGCCGCCGCCAGCTCGGCGAGGGCGTCGGGCGTGAGCAGGTCGCCGCCGGCGGCGGCGGTGGCCCTGACGAAGACGGCCGTGGGGCAGGGGGCGCCGCATAGCGTGCAGAGAGCGGCGCCGGCGGCGTCGACTCCATTATCGGATGTGCGGCGGCGGCGGAGGGGGATGATGCAGGCGGAGCAGACGGCGACGCGGTGGCCTCACGGCGAGCCGATGGCCACCCACTCCGGCGATGGCTCCGTGCTGCACACCACGCAGTTGCTGCTTGTAGCGGCGGCGGCGGCGGCGGCGCCGGCGGCGTCGCCTTGAAGCTGGATGTCGATGACGTGGCAGATCTTGGGACCCACAGCTTGATCCATGTGGACGTACACGTATGTGCCCGATCGGTAGGTTAAAGTATATATAATGCGACAAACAAAATACTTATATACTATTTGTAAATCAACTAAAGAGATCGTGTGTATTTATAATTTGACTCGAACATATATATGAGATTGCCGTCCATGTACGTGTCAGGCACGGATTATATACGTCACGGCTCTTTTGAGATCCTTTACCCTCTTTTTCTCGGATCTGTATCAGGTGCAGTCAGTGACACTGTAGCACGAGGTACTGTTCACATGGTTACTGTAGCTTTAGATCTGGACCATTGATCATAAAAATGGATGGTCCATGTTGTGTGCAGTTGCTAACGTGCAGTCACTATTTTTGACTGCACCTGATCCCAATTCCTTTTCCTCGTGGTTTGCCGTGGCTCTTCGCCTCCAATCCTCCCGGTGAACCGGTGCCGACACCTCCGCCCATGAGCCCAAGAGTCGTGACCCTCGTCGCCGGAGTGGTTCATCTTCTTTCTTTCCGTGCACAGGGACCATTGCTCTACTCATCGTTAATTCGCATGTCGTTCCTTGATGGGAATACAATTGATCCAAGATAGTACTCCCTCTATCCCTAAATATTTGAT